TCTTCCTTTCTTGTTTTTCAGTGCACCCTATCCATTTCTCTGTTAATTAAATAGATGTGAAATCACTAAACCACTGGGTCGAAGAAACAATTAAACAACAACTGAAATAAAAAAAAGTAGGAGGGAGGGAACTGTCTTCTCTTCTTCCTCTCAGCTGATTCTGCTTGGTAGAAATTGCCCTACTTTTTGAGCACTTTCTTTTCCTTTCACAGAAAGAAAACTTGGATTCATGAGGGCGTATCCACCTAATGACAATATGGTAGAGTTAACCCAAGAGAACAATGCATCCCATTTATCTGCTCATGCTTAATTGGAAAGTACAATATGGAACTGGCATCTTAAAGGCAGACTGTAAATGTACTTGGATTGGTTGCTATTTAACTGATGGAACTGGCATAAAAATATGTGTACCCTAAAAAAGAGAGTGAAAGCAACCAGAAGTTATGAGTCACATTTTCCTCCTGAATATTACCAATACCAGTTATAGGCAAAAATAATAAGCATTAAGCTACTGCCATTGACCTCTGCACATGCTATCTGAGGAGAAAGTATCTTGTCTGCACTGCCCAGTGCCCTTCAGCAGTTGGGAGCTAGAAAGCCTGGGAGCTGTGGGATGTGCAGAGTCACCACTTCAATCCCACATGCTTTCCTTTCTTCCTCCTTTGCTCACAAGCATCTGGACAATTGCAAGCTCCCCTGAGGGACTAGGGGAAACCTCTGGCCGATGCAGTGCCCCTGCTGCACCCCTGCCTCTGCTCTGACTCACAGCAGGGCCAGCAGTGACCTAAATGTTTCCCAGGAATGACAGCAGGGAGCAAGGAAGGAAAGTATGAAGGCTGATGCTACTGCACTGCAGAGAAGGACTGAAGCAGAGTCACAGGGAGGCTCTGGTCCCTAAAGACAAGAATATGGACCGGGGTTGTTTTCCAGAACAGCAGAGGGCAAACAACCTGCTTTTGTTTCACCAGCAGTATTCGTCTTTAAACAATACTAGAGGTTGTGGGATGGCTTTGCAGGACATTGAAATTCACCTTTTGATAATGCAGGGCACATCTTTCCTTAGAGGCATGAGAAAAGGGGAGACTGCTAGAATCCAAGTCCTTTGGCAACCCCAACACTTGTATGACTTGACTACTGCCTATATGAAATTACTTCCCACAAAACCATAAACTTCTTTGCTAAAAGATGAAGTGCCACACTGTTGAAAAGACTGTCACAAAAGCAAAGTGAAAAAAAGTTGAGCATTTTTTGCTTTTGTCCAACCTCATTTTCACCACTGCCACCAGCACTCCATAACATATGCACACAAAACCATAAACTTTAGTCTTCCAGAAACCTCTCTACTAAGTTTTTCCTTGTACATATGATAGATTATTTCTTGAGCCTTCTGACTGAATTATGTTTCCCCTGCCAACACTATCCATTGTGTGGAGGCTGCAGTCATAATCTGTGAAATGAATAGTACTTGTTAAAGATCTTATAAATAATCTTATCACATGAATATAGCAAAAATTTGCCCAGTTGAGAAATACAGCTCATGAGACTAATTTTTTGCAAAATAGTATCCCTCTGAAAAAGGATTTCAGCAGTAAAAAACAAAGAAAAAAAACCCTAAAAAAACAAAATAAAAGCGGAAATAAGGAAAAGGAAACTGACAGCCCTGTGTCTGAACAACCCTGTTGGATGTCACAAGGCTGTAGCAAGCTTCACTTTTCTACATCTGCAGCACAGCTGGTCTGTCCCTTATCTAGAAAAGACCAGAAGACCTCCTGATGTGTCTTGAATAGTATAAAATGAAAAGCAATGGAAGGGAGGATGGAGATGTGTGGTAACACCAGGATGCACCTTGAGCTCAGCAGAGACATGGTAGATATATAGGTGATAGTCTGGAAGGGAGATGGGAGGAGATAATGAGGTGGGGCAGACATAGCAGAAATTACCCATTTCTATTGTTTCCAGACCATTACTATTTTATCCTCAATTACCTGACAGATGTCCTCTGTATCTGATTAATAAGATTTGGAACAACATATTTTCTGGCCAGTGTTACATTTTCTTGTCAAGTGATAACTTCTCCTCTATGGAACTGAAAGTATCAGGAGAAGGTATCCATAATGCTACACCAGCTGAAAACCAGAAGACCCTGACAAGAGAAGGCAGCACAGGGAGAGGCGAGAGCAGAGGGCTGTGTGTAGAAAGCAGCACAGCAATTTTGGAAGGAAAAGGAGCAGGAAACTTATAAATAGCTGAGCATGAAGTAGTTCTTTCCAGAAAACTGGATTACAAATAATCCTGTCTGTAAAATTACTAGGGAAAATAAAAAATAAAACAGCCGATCTCAGTTCATCTCTCTCTTTTGAGGAGAAAAAGAGCAGGGAACAGCTCTAAGACATGCATTTCTATTCACAAAAGGTCCTGATGTAACACCTGCACCAGTGTCCAATCTGGATTTTCAAGTGAAATCTTTGTGGGTCATTTGTGCACCCACAGTACTGGCAAATAAGGCTGATATCACACAATGGAAAGTCCAGTTGAGAGAATGCACTTTTCTCTAGTTGCCCTAATTGTATTCTGCTATTAAATAATTAACATGCAAACTCTGAAAGGGGAAGAACTTGTATAGTAATGGAATTCCTCTCTGTTCCTGTAATCTATTTATTGAGGTTTTTCCAATTATTTTTATATTTAAAAAAAAAGAGTAAGAAATATGAGTACAAAAAAACTACAGAGAAAAGGCATTTGTGATTGGATTAGTAAATCCAGAACATAATCATCAATAGCTGTCTTTATTATTAATATAGAGTAGCAATTTTGGCTGAATGATTAGCCAAAGTTTCAAAGCCTTGCAGAGTTTCTTACAGAGTATTTACATAAGAAATCAGCAGTGTAAGTCAACTGTAATCTTGGTATAATCTTAAAAAAAATTTTGCTTATTTTATCCCCCTTCAAAAACAGAGGAAAAAATGCACCTGAAGACTCATTTTCCTGAATGCATCAAAAGCGATAGCATCAGCAAAGATTGTTATGTTATTCTCCTTCAGGAATTTCCAGATCTGCTACCCTACCTGGGGACCTCACCATCCAAGCCCTGCTGGCTGGAAGCTCCCTCTCCACGGCACAGAGCCAACAGTTCTTGTGAGACTCCTGCCCTCTCAACAGCAGGCTTCAGCCAGGAACCTCTCTGCTTGCACCAACGAGTTGTTCATGCCATTCCCTAAGTTCTGGTACACCATGGTTCTTCACGGCACTGCTCATCCACCAACAGGGACCCAATAATGCCCAAGGAAGTCTGAAGGACATAGCAGGCTTAATCGTGTCTAAATTTTGGTGGAGTGGGGAGGAGCAGGGACCACTAAGAAAGCATCTTAGGAAATTTTCAGCTTAAGAAGGACACAAATGTTGCCAACAGTGGAGCTGATTCACTGTGGGCTTTGAGTAGGTATTATCAAGTCCTTCCCTCCTGGACAGAGAGGGTGCTAAAGTTAGCTTGTCCCATGACATGTCAGCCATGGCACTGAGCCAAGGATTTCACCCAGGAGCTGGCTGGGAGTCTACATTTATAGTAAATCTGCTACCTTTTACATTAAAATACCCAGTGGTTGCTGCCCCTTTATTCTTTGAAGGATGCTTTCCTTGTGCTTTGCATTGCTTCAGTGACATCTCCCAATGGATGCTAATTTTTGTTTCTAGTTATGTGGATAAGGCAAAAGATTTATATATGCCCTGTCTCTTAACTTGCCTCCTTTCCATTTATTTTTTTTCCTTTTTCTTCCTGAATATCACCACAACATATTTCTTTGGCCACAACACAGCAATTGGGTATGACCTTTTACTCTAATTTGTCATTTCATTCCATATTAACTGTTGTAAAGAACTGTCCATTCCCTTTATTGAACATCTTTAAAATCTGTGCTTGGTTAAGGACTAAGGCAACCAAAACTGTGGTGCATGCTTTGGTTCTTACTCAGCTTGAATATTTAAATGGGCTTCTTGCTGGTCTTAATGCATTTATTCTATCTAAATTGCAATCTGTGCAGTCATCTCCCCAACCTTATTTTTTTTGTTTATTTGTTTGCTGGTTATTGCTGTTTTGTGTTTCACAATCTCCTCTTGAAACTCTTGTTACTTGGGTCACCCCTTTTTTATTATTCTTATTTTGCATATTCCATTTAAAATTTTGATACAGGTCTTGTTTTATTTAAACTATTTTATTATAGTGTTTGAGAAGGAGACTACTGTATGAGCACAGAATGTGGGGCTAATACTACAAGACCCTTGTCTCCTGAACTGATCTAAGGCTGTCACTTCTCATACTGTCCGGAGAGTTACCCAAAGATTTAATCTAAGAACATAAGTTGGAGGGCTAAGCCATTGCACAGGACTTGTCCCTTGCAACAAGATGTAACCTGACAGAGTCCATGGAAGGGTAGCATAACACTTCAAACAAGGCCAGAGATAACAATAATTTTGAAAAGATGCTACCAAGTGCCTGATGAAAGCTGCAGAAATTGTGCTGGGAAATTCTGTTGCTTGTACAAAGCTGGTGCATCTTTATTTCTGTTTCTGCTCTTCTTACAATGCATTCTTTATGACAGATGTATTAAACCATATCCCCTCCATTACCACAGCAGTACTTTTTCATCACCTTTAATTATGTCAGATGCAGCATGAAGCTCTAGCTCACCTCCATTTACCTGATGCATTACTGTCATTTTGAAGGGCAGATGTTCTTACATACCATGCTTCAAAAAGCTCAGCTCCTTTCTATTGCTTTACAGAGACGTGCTCCAACGAGAGGTACTGCCTGCATGTGACACACCAACTGCCTCTGTTCTCCACACCACCACACACACAGATGCTTCCCTGAACCTGCTGCGGTTTGTCACCATTCTGCTCCAACACATCCTCTGTACATTGGTTTTACAGCTCTACTTGGGATTGCTATTGCAATATTCTGGAGTTTTTATCTGATTTTTTTTTTTTTGCAAGGGAAATGCTCACCATGTACTGCTACCAGGAGACCAGCAATTCCAGTTCCTAAGCTTTTAAACTTGTTTTCATTCTGTAACAGAGTGAAAAGCCCATGTATTAAGAGCCTTCACAGGCTTATATTATGCAAAAATGTTAACTTGCAGAAGACAACCCCCAACTCTGGCTTAGAAAACTGGAGAATTTTATATCCTAGAACAAGGAACTTTGACCCTGAAAAGTGCTTTTCTTATTCAACTGGGCATCCCCAACAAAGCATTTATAAGAAAATGAAAAAGCATATTTAATGAAAATACCAGTAAGATCCAGTCATTCCTCTTCACACTCCTTATGCTAAGTCTCCAGACCCCAGCCCTTCACAAGGCCCTTCAAAATATGTTTACCATATAGTGTTCATTTTAGACTCCTTGTTTTCCTTTCTATCTTGAGCAACTAGACAAACAGGCAATAACAGAAAGCATGGAAGCATCATAAATCTATAAGAGACCTTTACCTTTTAGAGCAGATCCTACCTCCCCAGCCCAGGTGAAGGTATGACACAGGACACGTTAATTGCTCCGGTAACATCACAGCATCCTTCTGGTGACAGTAGTGGCAAGGTGTCAGCACAATGCTCCTCGGTGGCTTCAGCATCCTCAGATGAGGAAGAGAACAATATCATCTCCGGAAATTCACACATCTCCTGCCATAAGGGCCCTCTGGGGATACTCATGAGGCTCAAAGCCTGGCCTTTCACTTCTTCCTACAAGTGCAAAGGAAATATTTCTTTTCTCAGGCCTCTAAAGAAAGTTTACACCTTTATTTCAGAAACACCAAGGAAGGCAGGCTTTAAATAATACATTTCTAGAGTGTTTCTGTGCAAGTGTCAGGGATGGATGAACTCATTTGAACCATGGAGCAGCTGGAAAAGTGGTATTCAAAGAGCACACCTGAAGTCAGCCGTGAAACTGCTCTGCCTCTAAAAAAAAGGCCACTGAAGAGCATGAGAGATGCCTCAAGAAGGGAATCACCACCAACTCATGACCATGTGCTGAAGCTCAAGTATCCAGTCAGAAACACAACTCCCAGCAGGGGGGCAACAGCTGCCTTATCCAAAAGGAGCCCCTTTTAAAAACAAACAAACAAACAAAAAGCAAAGAGAAAATAGCAGTTTAAAAGAAGCAAGACCACAGCAGTCCTTTGACCAATCATTGTCAAGTGATTAAGACAGCTGGCTGAGAAAAACTGTCAGTTTTATAACAGAATCGTTATGTATCTATTGTCAGTAATTACCTGAAGAAGACCACCCACAATATTTTTCTTTTTTACTTATTGCAAACAAAAGATACAGGTTTTGTGAGTCTAGTCACAGACTGAGAAGAAAGAAGTGAGGTTAGTGAAGCTGGTGTTAGATCTTGCTTGTAGAAGGGAAATTAAAAGACCTTCTCACATGACCATATGGCAGGAAACAAGATCCCTCACAATACGTGCTCCCAGGCTAGAACCTGAAGCTTGTTTTCATAAGTCCTTGGGACTACACAGCCTGTTCAGGCATCAGAGAAGACAATTAAACAAGAAAACATTATTTTCCATTGTTCTCAGTGGGAATTCTTGGTCTTCACCATTCTGAAATGATACCCTTAATATGCTGATTTCAGAGCATTTATACCCTGTGGGAGTTTTGTCCTCTGACTGTGTCAACTCTAACTGTAGTAGATCAAAAATTGAATGAGTTGTAATTGGTTTTATCAACTGGAGAGAAGAGCCAGACACATGAAAAAAATCACAGATTTTTTCTTAATGAGAAAATGGCATGTTCTGTGGCATTCTGTGACTATGTGGACTTCTACAGGACTACACATATGTCTTCCAGAACAAAAGGGCAATATAAGTATAATGTACTCGAATGTTTAGAAGTGATCCTATAGTTTAAAAAAAAAAAAGAATAGAAAAATTCAATTCCCTTTCAGAATATTTGTAGATATAATCAAGCATCTGCAGCTTGAGCATAAAAATGCCAACCAGATCTGTTTCCTCCTTCCTGGAATTTAATTTGTTGCTACACTGAACGTTATCACTACAGACAGAAAAATTCAGCATCTGACATTACTTTGGAGTCAGGTTTGTCTATGATCCAGAAGAAATCCCACTTTACATGACCAAATGTCTTTCTGCTGAGACTGATGTGATTAATACTCTGTTGAGGATTGCATTTTGCCTTGATTAAAGCAATTAAATTAACTTCCTTATATCAGAAGACATAAAGAAGACATAAAATACCTTCTCATCTTCAACATTCACCTGATCTTTGTAGTATTGCAGATGACATTTCTTCAGGCAAAAAAAAAATGAAGTTTTGGTCTTGGGAATCTTTAAATATGTACATAGCCTAAGACATATGGAAGACTCAGTTTCATATTGCTTGTATTTTCATATTGCTATGAAAGTTCAGTTCATACTCCTTGTAGTTGACTTCTGCTTCTGGCTATTGTACACTTTTCTTAGATGAATACCACAAATTGTTTGTGCATGAGATGTCTTTAAAAGAGCAAGGTGTAAGAGAGTTATTAGAAATAACAGAAATTTTTAGTAAAATTATATTAAGGCAGAAAAATCATCCTTTAGCACCTGAAGAGCACACAGATTATTTTTACTGGCAATTCTGGAGGAAAGACAATAGGTATTTTTTGGTTTTGTTCTCTGCTTGCTACTTTTTCTGTCTTAAATGTTATTTATATTTTTTTAAAAATCAGTATCTTTCACATTACCTTAAATGCCAAGCAAGATGGAGCCCTTAGATAGAACCTTTATGACTATTAGTACCATTTGGGTACAGTTTTCTTCTGTATACTGAGATTTTTTAGGGCAGAACTATTTTCTCTTAATTCTGTTACAATTACTTTCCAATAATTTTTTCTCAGCTAATAATAACTATTAACTTGGCTGAGTTTTACAGCTTAAAAATTTGGAATGTCTCCTGATCATATTCTTTTTAAATCGGTCCCTTCCCACTTTCAGTCTGACTACCTAAAAATGATCCTTTCAAGAGCAAGGGAGTGATTAGAAACCTGGGAATTTCACTATTCTTACCACAGATTTCTTTTCAGCACAATTTTAACATGGGAAAGTTCATTTTTTGCTATTATTTAGTGGCAGCTTTTCATATGGAGTACAAGGAGTAATCAGAACTGCAAATCCATATGATAGAATAATACAGTTGGCTTAAATTCCAGTGGGCATTGGTAAGAGTCCATCCCAAGAATATTTTTCCTGCATTTAAAATTATATTTAGACAGAGTGAAAAAAAAATCCAGCAATTGAAAGGGGGAAAGAAAAGGAGCCCAAACCTCTTAGACAGTAGCTATAGTAAGCATAAGAAAAATACAGGTTTAGCAAGAGATTTGGGTAATGCCAAACTCCAGTTATGTGACCACAAAACAAGAGCTGATGTCAGATCTCTTCTGTATCTAATGTAAAGCTTTACCTGTAACTAAATTTTGGAGTGGAAGGGCTAGACATTGCCACAATTTTTTACTTCTTTTTAATGGGAAAAAGGACTGTGCATTTGTGCACATGAGCATGGTATGCAATTTCTTTCTTTCCACCTGAGAAAGAACTGGAAAGGCAAGCTTTCTTGGTCCTCTTTTCTTGAGGGAAATGGCTAGCAGGCATGAGAACCAAGGAGAAGCCGCTCTTGCTTAACGCAATGGAGATCAGGATTGGTTCGCTGTCTTTGTGAGAGCAGAATCTGCAATAAGCATTTGAAAGCTATCAATACTGGGGAAGGCCTACGGAAACATTTCACAGGTACATTTTCAGGGCTGAGAAATTAAATTGGTTTTAATAAAGCCAAGCAAAAAAGGCTTTAATAGGACTTTAGCAATGCATAAGACTTCAGTAGTCCTCTGCCCAAGGGTGTCTTTATCACTATGTGTAGCAGTACCTTGTCACCAGACTAGGTTTTAATTACACAAGCCAAGGGCAAAACTAAGTCTGCTTTCTAATATCATTTTGATGTGGTATTCCCTATATCTCTAGGAAATTAGAGATCCCCTCTATGCTTATCCTCTCTCGAGCATTAAACGACAAGGGCCATTGCCAACGACAAGAGTTATGCTCTATATTGGTAGCGGGGGAAAAGCTGAATTCTGCCCCTTTTAGTAAGTGACTTAAATCCCCTACGCACCTCCAGCAGCACACAGAGATTAAACCTACCACTTGTGCCATGGCAGTTAAAAGGCATTAACCCCAGCACATACCAAGCACTAGTTGCAAAAATACCTTCCTTTTAATTAATGCAGCACTTAGCTCAGATTGCCAGTTCTTTCCTGGAGCACAAAACCTGCAATACCCCAGCACCAGATGAATTTGCTGCTCCATCTGCAGTGCTTGAGTCTGTCGTGAATTCTCTGCCTCCTAGTTCAGAGTTGCACCACCACAGCTGTCTGAAATGACCAGCTGTAATTGGGTTCAGTGGAGTTCAAAGCTATACTCCAGATTCCTCATATCAAAGTCCATTGATGCAGTGGCAGATGAAGCACATTGAAATGCTGGGAGAGTGGGAGGGAAGCTACGAGCAAAGTTCATGTCTGACCTGTTAGATGCCAGGATGCAGTACACAACTAGCTTTAGGTTGAGTTTTCAAGAACTCAGGTGCATTCCCCTGGAGAAGACTTTATCTCCTCCTCTAATTGCTGCAAAACATACCTCATTTTTGCTAATGTACTTTGTCTATTCCATGGCTTGATACTTCTGAGACTCATTTACTTTTTTTTTTAAATGTCAGGGCTTTCTCCTGAGATTGTTCATTCATTATATTTATTTTCTTGGACATGATTTAACAAACCATCCCTGAAGAATTTGCAGCTATTAACTTTGTCGAACAGAAGCTCAAGTGAGAGTTAAAGGCAAATGGTCTAGAAGAAAGCAATGGGCCAAAGCATCTCCAGGGCATTTATCAGCCCCAAAACTCATTTCAATAACTCTTTCTCACAAGACAGAGTAAAACAAAAAAAAAGAAAAAAAAAAAAAAAAAAGAAAATGGAAGTTTTGTTGTTGCTGGTATGAGATCATAAAGCACAAATAAGATCTAGATAAGCATAGCAAGGTTGGGGTTCTTTTGTCAAGTTACTCAAATCTTCACCTTCATTTCTGGTTGATCATTATGCACTGTCCATTTTTACCTCACATTCACTCCTCTAAGCTCCGGGCCAGCAAGAACAGCTGCCCAGCTACTGTCATGGGATGGCCATTTGGCTCACACTGCTCTTAGTGTCAGCTCTTAGTTAGCAACCTTATTCTGTGAAGAAAACCTACTTGCAGCCACTAGTAAAACTAAGGAAGCTACAAGTGTCGATGTGGCAAACTCACCTCATGTGGTCCTCAGGGAAGGATATGACGAGTACACCATACAATGTAACATAGTTGTATAATCTTGGTCATCCTCCAGGCTGTAATTGCAAATTAATTCTGATGAACAGAACATGATGAAGGGTCTGAACGCAGAAGTCCATCTGGTTTTCTCCAAATACACCAGCTGTACACAACCGAGAATGTATGTCCATTCATTCTGTGCACATAATTCCAAACAGTATGATTTCATACAAAATATTGCTTCTTTCTACAAACCCTGCCTCACCAGAGACTGTGCCCTTTCTTAAAAACACTGATTAGACTTAATTATGCACAGATAAAGAATGTAACTAAGTCATTGTTGTTGCTGCATGTAAGTCACACGTAAGTTTTTCTGCAGGTGTTCTGTGTATCTGCTCCTGACAGCAGCAGACCCAGTCATTTGGTCATTTGTTTGGCTTTGAATATTTCAGCATTTAAAATAAAAAGAAATAAAAGCAGCCCTTCAAATCAAAAGAACTTTGCAGTACACTGCAAATTAAGGAATGTCAATTTGGTATTTTTTTAATGTCATGTTTATGCTATTTTCTATTCTATAAAGACACGTAGGAGAGCCAAAGGACCAGGCAGTAGCATCCACCCAGTACCTAAACACTTTACACAAGCTATAAGGACACATGTGCAAAATATTTTGTCCAAACTTTTAAAATATTATCTGTGGTCCTTGAATTAGTCTGGCTGTCTTAGTCCAGGATTCATTGCTC